CCCACCCCCCAAATTTTGGAAATTTCCTTCTTCCTTTTGAGGGCCCCATTGTCCTCCCAATCACCCAGGCTCACAACTGAGGCATCATCTTCGATTCCTCATTCTCTCTCACTCTTCCATGTCCAATCAGTTGCAACCACTTTCCTGATATCTCTTGTATATTCACTCTTCTCTCCTGTGCCCTGCCCCACTTCTGGTGCAATCCCTCATCCCCTCGTACCTGGACTATTATAATAGCTGCTGTAGAGTCTACCGGCCTCTTGAGTTCTCCCCCATTCCAGTCCGTCCTCCCCTCAGCCATCAAAGTGATCTTCCCAAAGCACAGGTCCGACGCCATCACCCCCCCCCCAAACTCAATAAACTCCAGTGACTCCCTATTGCCTCCAGGATCAGATAGCAAATCCTCTTTGGGGCATTCAAATGCCTTCATAATCTGTCCCCTTCCTACCTTTCCTATCTTCTTCCACCTAACCCCCCACCCCACCCCCACACAAACATACTCTTCAATCCAATGACACTGGCCTCTATGCTGTCCCACAAACAAGAGGCTCCATCCCCAGTTTCCAGGCATTTCTAAGATGTTCTCCCTCCTCATCTCCACCCCCTGACTTTCTTTAAGTCCCCACCAAAATCCCACCTTCTGCAAGAAGCCTTTCCCAGTCTCAGTTAATGATAGTGCCTTCCTTCTGTTCATTATCTCCTATGTCCCCTGGATGCAGCTCGTTTGTACATAGTTGTTGACTTGTAAGACTGGGATTAGGAGCTTCTTGATAGCAGGGACTGTCTTTTACCTTGCTGTGTAGCCCCACTGCCTAATGCAGTACCTAGAACACAGTAGGAGCTTAATAAATGCTCATTAACTGACTGACTATTAGAAATGCTGATCATCTTTCTGGATTTCTTCTCTAGCCTGCTAGTTTGCTGACGTGGATCATAGCCAAGAGTTTGGCAGAGGCACTGGTGCTCTTCTTATGGACAAGACGAAAGGATGGAGGCCATGCAACGCTGTGACTAGATGGATTTTGATCTAGTTGTCACTGAGGCTTTATGTCAACTTGGGAGGAGGTCTCTAGTGCAGTTCCCCAGGGCTCTATGCTTGACCCTGTGCTATTTAACATTTTTATCAATGGCTTAGGGGCATAGATGACTGTGCTTCTGACATTTTCATATGACACAAAGCTGTGGGGGAGGTATACGTACTGGGAGCTCCGTGGTCCTATGGGGTAGAGGGAGAGGAAGAGGATAGGAAGGGGTACAAGAAAAATTGATAGGTGTTTGGGCTCATTTTGGTCCCTTGGCATTGTCCAGAACCCTGCTTCATCCTCCCAGAATCCATACGTGTCCAGCATCAGGTCCCACTGTGCTGTGGGTCCTGGTAGAATGTGAGTGTCTGATTTTCTCTGGATAGCCCATGATGTTTCCAGGGCCAGGTTGGGGTAGGCTTCAGAGGTCAGGGACCTCTGGATGCTTCCTGGCCAGCTTCAGTCAAGGCAGTACTAGGAGAGGAAACCAGGGTGTCTGGAACCTGGTGAAGAGAAGGCCCTGATGAGGCAAGGTTCGACAGGCCTGCTACTGAGAAAACCCTGGAAAGACTTGCATGAAATAAAGCAGAGTGGAGCAAGCAGAACCAAGAGAATGCTGTACACAGGAACAGCAATATTGTCCAAAGAGTGACTGTGAATGACTAAGCTATTCTGAGTAATGTGATCATTCAAATCAGTTATGAAGGAGAATGCCATCCACCTTCAGAGAAAGAACTGATGGATGGAAGGATATAGTGTATGGTTCCACATATGTATGTGTGTGTTTATATATGTATATATGTGTATGTATATGTATATATGTGTGTATGTATATGTGTGTGTATGTATGTGTATGTGTGTGTATCTGTGTCAAATGCTGGCCTTCTTTAATGCGGCCTAGGGAGGGAGACAGCTCAGAACTCAAAATGTAACAAAAAAAGAAATTCTATAAAATGAAAAGAACAAAAAGAAAAGCCCTGTTCCCAGCTGGGCGGGCCCTGCCAGCCCCTACCAGCCCTCGGGAACAGCAGGTTAAGGCTGGCTCTGAGGCAGATCAGAGATCAGTGTTCTGCCTGTCAGAAGGGCTGGTGAGGGCAATTAAGCAGGCCAAAGGAACGAGAATAAGCCCCAGCCTCAATCTCTGCTAGAGCTGCTTAGGGTCACTTACATAGTCTCAGCTAGGCCCCTGGAGACCAGCAGATGGGGAAGGATGTCTCTCTCTAGACTAGACGGCACCATCTCCTCGCCCCTGCCTTGTGAATCCCAGATATTAGCTGCTCCCAAGAGAAAAGGTTCAGGATTCCCTCCCCTTTCCCACCCCACCCTTACTCCCTATATATCTCTGTCTCTCTCTCTGTCTTTGTCTATCTCTCTGTCTCTGTCTCTGTCTCTCTCTCTCTCTCTCTCTCTCTCACACACACACACACACACACACACACACACACATTCTTACATGCAAACATCTACACACACAGACCTTAGAAGTATATACGTTTGCAAACATCCCATCTTATCCTTAAAAAAAAGCCCTCCCCTTGCCTCTACCATCCTTCAAACTATGCTCCCATAGCTCACCAACCTTGCACTTCTAAACTCCTAGGGAAAAACCCCCAGACTCCTCCTTTCACTGCCTAGCCCTTCCCTGATTCTTTGCAATTCGCCTTCCAGCTCTCCCACTCTCTTAAAATGACCGTCTCCAAGGTTACCAAAGATCTTGTCATCACTATATTCCCTTCTCAGCCCATGCCCTCTGACCTCCTCGAGCTTCTTTCTCTCAGTCCTCCTCCGACTTGTCTGACTACTCAGTTTCCTTTGTTGGATCTGTCTTCTGCCCCCTAAGCATGAGTGTCCCCTAAGATTCTATCTTGGACCCTCTTCTCTTTTAAATTTAGGGCTTCAGTCAATCAATGAATCAAGTGACTAAAAGCTTACAAAGCGATCAGCGCGCATGCATGCATGTATGCCAACATCCATCCATCCATCCAGACATCCTCCTCACTTGGTCTTCACAACACTCCTGGGAGGCAGCTGCTACTGTGACTATGAGCTCAGTTTTGGATATGAGAAAGTGGACGTTCTGAGAAACGAAGAGGCTTGCCCGAGACCTAGAAAGGGCCAGGCCAGGCCAACCCTCTTTCTACATCGCCACACGTGTCATCGTGCACATCACCTAGGTCACAGCCAGCATGTCCTTGAGGCCCCAGTGAGCCTGGCTGCCAGCCTCAGGGACCACACTCCCTCTCCCACCCAGTCTGACATGGGGGAATCTTCTTAACGTGGATGGACAGAAGAAGTGGGAAGAGCCTCCAGGCCCCTGAAGTAGGACACTGGGGAGGTGTGGGAAGGAGGGCTGCCAAAGCCTCAATCTCCCTGTCCAGCCCCCTGCCACTAGGAGCTAATCTCTTAGCCCATAATCTGCTTTCCAAACTCGTATTTCCTGAGCTACTTCTCTGCCCCCCCACCCCCACTCCCAAGCTAATCAGCCAGAGCCCCCTCTGCCCCCCAAGGGCCCGGGCTATAAAAGGACTATGGTCAAGAGCAGTTAAAGCAGAGCAGGAGACTGGGCTGCTTTTCGTATTTCTCTTCAGGTAATATCTCCTGCCACTCCAGTCCCATCCCATGCTCCCTCTGTCCACCTGTGTCTGACAATCCTACCTTAACAGGGGCAGGGAGGGGTGGGAGAAAGTTGCCCCTCCTCCAGCTGAGCAGCGGCCACCCAGGTGAGATGACCCTGTGTAGCACAGTCTGGGAGCTGTGTAGTCCTAGGCCCTCTCCACCCCCGGAGAATGGCAGCAGGACGAGCCCGGCGGCCCAGCAAGCACCACTAACGGTGTTGGCCGTGTTTCCGGTCACGAGGTGACGGGGCCGGGGGACGGAGGGCAGGCATCAGGATGGCAATCCAAGGAGATGGGATTGGGGAGCACCAGCAATAGCAATGGTGGCGAGGGGGAAGAGACGGGTCCAAGGGAGACTCCTGGCCCTCGCCCCCACTTCTTTTACTACCACTTAACAACCTGGGGCTTCCTGCCTCCAACAACCCAGGTCCCTTAGGGAGGGAACGTGGCAGAGGGGGATAACAGTGGCCTTTGCACCCAGAAAAGTTGAGTGTGAATCTAGACTCTGCCTCTTACTGCTTCTTTGTGACCCTGGACAAGTCACTACCCCTTTCTAGGCCTCTGCTTTCTTCTCTGTCCGTGAAACAAACAGATTGAGATCACCAACCTCTCAGGGCCCTTCTAGGTCGAAGCCCACGAGACGATGATCTTTCCTGTTCGTTAAACCTCCTCAGTAGCCAAAAGATGCTTGTAGCCTTCCTGAGGAGGCCTGGGAGTGCATGGTCCAGGGACAGAAAGACGCACAGAGAGGGTCTCACTCAAAGCCGCGGGGGCTCAGCTGAGCACAGTCTGTTCTCCTTCCAGGTCCAGAATTGGCTTGCCAATTCAAGAACAGAAATACATATGTACTTTTCCTGAATTGAAAATTCCATTGTATATATAAATTATATATACATATTATATATACACATATAAAACAGGATATGAAGAGGTGAGGGAAAGTGTGTGTGTGAGGGGTAAGAAAGGGCCCATGACAGCTGGGGAGGGGGAGGGGTTACAGAGCAAGGAAACCAGTGTCTTGTGGCCCCCGGTAACTGCTTTGCTGTTGCCCATCTACCATCATCCCACCATTGAGAATCCTGCTGGGGGTTCAGGAGCTGGCAGAAGGGAGAGGTGCCAGGGAACCAACTTGCTGAGGCCTCTTCTCTCAGAGGATCGTGGGTGCTGACACTGGAAGGGACCTTGGAGATCCTGTCATCTAACCCCTTCATTTTATAGCTCAAGAAATTGAGGTCCACAGAGGAGTGATTTGCCCAAGGTCACCAAGGTGGTCACAGATACCAAGCTCCACGTCAGGACTTCCAGCTCCCCAGGGAGTAATCTTGCTTCCCTCCCTCCCCAGAAGTGCCCCCAAACCGAGCCCATGGCCACCAGCTCCAAGTAAGACACCCTTTACACTCCCTGTGATTCCCTGACCACCCCATGCTCCATACCCCCCAGTCTTCACTATAACCCCAAACAGTGCTTGCTGTGAGCATAGAGGGGGTAGCTCCCAGCCTTCCCACTCTCACTCCCAGCCACATTCCCACCACCATTTCCCCCCTAATTCCAGCAGCAACTGTTTCCTTCACACAAAGCCCGCCCCCCCATAACCCTTCCTGTCTCCTGCTCCCCAGGGTATTTAAGAAGACCTGCCCCAATAGGAAGGTGAGAGGCCCAAGGCCAGCTGGAGGGAGGTCCACGTGCATCATTGAAGGATCCCAGGGAGGTTTGGGTAGAGGGGTCGTGGTGCGGGGGAAGAGCAACACAGAGTGATTTGGAGAACTACAGGAGGGGTTTTTCCTCTAACAGCTTTCCATCTACCTGGGGAAACGGGACTTTGTGGACCATATAGACTCAGTGGAACCCATTGGTCAGTGACCTCCAAATGGCCAGAGATCTTGACATCAATATGGTGGAGGGGAGGGAACTGGAAGTAAAGTCATGAAAAAAGAAGGAAGCAAATGAGAGGGGAGGGGGGGGTCAGCCTTCCAGGGGCATCTCTCTCCAAGCCTTCTCATTCACTTCCACAGATGGTGTTGTGCTGATTGACCCTGAGTACTTGAAAGATCGAAAAGGTAAAGGGGTGTGTGTGTGTGTGTGTGTGTGTGTGTGTGTGTGTGATAGACACACAGACAGAGACAGAGAGACAGAGACAGAGACAGAGAGACACAGAGAGAGAGAGAGTGCCCACATATGCCTCTGTGTGTGTGTCTTTCTATCCTTCTTGAGTCGGGTCTATCAAGTCTGGGATGGGGGACCATGCTGGCCTTCCCCAGGCCCTGAAGTAACTCATGAGCTAAAAGTTGGTTTGAAATTAAGCTTTTAGCCATGGTGAGCTGAGGCAGCTCGAGTCTCTGTGGGAGGCCAGGGAGAGCCTTGAGTGGCCTGGCAGTGAGGACCCTCTGCTCTGCATTGCTAGCCCTCTCTGCATCACCTCCATTCCATCCTCTGTAAACTGAGGGAATTGGCGTCAGTGGCCTGACAGTCTGAGAGCTAAGCGAAGGGACAGCTTTGGCGTGGCAAACGGGATTGGAGGCTAAACGAGTTTCTGAAGCTAAAAACCCCACAGCCTTCAGAATGTTCTTGTCTTTGTTCTTGTCTTGTTCAGAATGAACTTGTCTTTAGAAAATAAACTTTTCAAGTTAAAAAAAAAAATGGACAAGTTGTTTTCCAGGCAGAAAGGAAAGTTGTTCCGCTAACCAATAAGCATTTCAAAGGATGGCGACGCCTTCTGGCCAGGGCTCCTGTGCCCCGTAATGTTCGTCTTTGTTGTGTCCAACTCTTGGTGACCCAACTTGGGGTTTTCTGGGCAGAGATAATGGAGTGGCTCACCATTTCCTGCTCCGGCTCATTTTATAGATGAGGAAACAGGGTTAAATGACTTACCCAGAGTCACACAGCTGTTAAGTATCTGAAGCCAGATTTGAACTCAGGTCATCCTGACTCCAGGCCCTGTGCTCTATCCACTGCACTGCTTCTCACCCTTGCTGTTTGCCTACTTCTGTCTAATTCCTACCCACCTCCCTGTGTCTCCTACCCTCTTCTATGTCCTCCTTTATGCCTCTCCAGCTCTTGGGCTCTCTGCCTCTCCTTTTCTATTCCAATTCTGCCAGTCCCCTCCCCTCTCTGGACCTCAGTTTCCCCATCTCAAATGTAAGAATAGGACTAAATCTCTATTCTTACATTCATTCAGTCATTTGATAAGCACATACTCCACACTGACTAAAGCGCCAGGCACTGTCTTAGGTGCTGGAGCTACAAAGAGAAAAATCACTAAGTCCCTGTCTTCAGGGATCTTACAGGCTAGTAGAAGGATGAGGCCTAAGCAGCGCACCATGACATCGATTCTGTATTGCTCTGGTACACCGAGGACCTGTGATTCTGGTGGTTTGGAAGCTCCCTCTACCAACACAGACCCCAACCTGCTTTTCTGTAGCTTAGAGTCAAGTTCAGAGATGGGGTGACTTCCCCCCAGCTAGCGAGTATAAGAAGCAAGACATGAACCAATTTAGTTCTGCCTCCAAATCCAACACTCAACCATGCTGCCTTCGGGTTGCATCCGTGAGACTTTCAAGTTCCTCGTGTCCCTGGGCACAGCCTTATTCTGGGTCAGGCCCCTAGGGTCCTATTCAGGGCCAGCTTGCTGTTCTTCCTGCCCACCGTGGGGCACCACCCCCAGCCCTCCATGGCAGTTCCTCCTCATTTCCCCAGTGTTTGTGGTACTGACCTGCGCCTTCCGCTATGGCCGGGATGATTTGGATGTGATCGGTCTGACGTTCCGCAAAGACCTCTACGTGCAGGCCCTGCAAGTTTTCCCCAAAGAGCCCTCGCAAGACCCATTGCCCCTCACAAACCTTCAAGAATGCCTGCTGCACAAGCTCGGTGACAACGCCCATCCCTTCATCTTCCAGGTGAGCCCCAAGCCCTGGACTGGACATGGGGGCACCGGGCTTTCCCCCAAGGAGGGCAAAGCTGGCAGAGGGAGGGCAGGCTAGGGTGCGGAAGGGGAGGACACAGAGAGTAGGGGAAGTAGAGGAAAGGCCCTGGCCTTCCTGTTTGCTGACCTCCTTCTGGCATCCCCCTTCCTCTTACAGCTGCCCACCAATCTGCCCTGTTCAGTGACCCTGCAGCCTGGGCCTGAGGATGCTGAAAAGGTGAGCTCCTGCTTCCCTGGGGGAACAGGTCGGTGGGACAGGAGGACAAAGCAGGAGAGACTGATGCAGGGAGCTGGGGGGACCAACCCAAGGAAGCTGAGGATCGAGACCTGGTACATTGTCTCTGTGGCCCATGGAAGGAGGGCAGATGCCTTTGTCTCCTTCCCCACCCCCTGCAGGCCTGTGGAGTGGACTATGAAGTGAAGAGTTTCTATGCTGAGAATTTGGAGGAGAAAATCCACAAGAGGTACTGGCTTAGAGGACCCCAGACCCGGAGCTGGAAGGACCCTTCGAGGTCACCTAGGCCAATCCCCTGCCTTTTACAGAGGGATAAACTGAGGCCCAAGGAAGGGAAGGCATTCGCCCAAGGCCACACAGGCAGCAAATGGCATCTCCCTGGCTCCTTTCCCTCCCCATCTCCAATACACAGCCAAGAAACAGGTCTACCCCCTCTGGCCCAAGACTTCCTCTGCCTCTACAGCCTCGTTCCTCCTTTTCTTCTGACTGTCCTTCTTCCCTCCGGAGGCTTAGACTGGGAGGCCCGTTATAAGAGAATTAAAGCACCAGAGGAGCCCTGTTTGTACGCAGAGAGAGAAGGAAAAGGAGCGGGTGGGCTGGGGGTAGGGGAAAGTGTCTCTGAGAGAATTCCCTCTCCCCCAGGAACTCTGTGCGTCTGATCATTCGAAAGGTGCAGTTTGCCCCCCTGGACCTAGGCCCCACGCCCCGGGCTGAGACCACCCGGCACTTCCTTCTGTCTGACCACCCCCTAAAGCTAGAAGCTTGGATGGACAAGGAGGTCTGTGGCCCTCTTCTCTAACTTATCCCCAAAGGGCACAGGGAGCACAGAACCGGGAGTTGGGGTGGGACTCATGCCCACAAGGAAGGAGCTTCCCGGGGTTCCCCAGCTGCCTGGTGATGGACTGCACCCCCGGACTGCAGGTTCACTACCATGGAGAACCCATCTCCATCCATGTTGCCATCTATAACGGCACCAGTAAGCTCATCAAGAAAATCAAGGTGTCGGGTGAGCTTTGCCCACGACTTCTGCCCATGGGTGTCCTGGGGCGGGGTGCTGGCTGGGGGCGGGGGGACGGGACACTGCTTTTATGGTTACGTTCTATTCCTGGCCGTGGCGGGGATGTGCAGTTGACCAGATTGTGGATGTCGTCCTGTACTCCGGGGACAAGTACACCAAGACTGTGTTTACTGCAGAGTTTGGGTGAGAAGCTCTACTGAGGCCAGGGGACCAAGGCGGGGGAGGGCAGAGGGGAGGATAGGGCTAAAAGGAGGAGGAGGAGGGGGCTAGTGGTTGGGGCCTGAGCAAAACTGGCTCTTGGGGGAAGCCCAGTAAAGCAGAGGAAGATCTCAGGGTTGTAGATGACCGCAGAGGTCACCCAACCCCCTCGTTTTTACAGATGCCCTAACCCTCTGAGGTGGGAGGGGGAGGAGGAGGCAGAGGGGTCTCTCCCCAGCCCCCTGGGCTCACTCAGACAAGATTACCCAGGAGTCTTCTGGAATCATTCAAGACTTATGTTGGGAGAGGACATTCCATGGAAGGGGAAGAGGGGAGGACTTGGAGTCAGGAAAGATCTAGGTTCGCTTACCCCACTACCACATGCTAACTGTGTGATCTTGGGCAAGTCACTGCCCCTCTCTGAGCCTCAGTTTCCTCATATGTAAAATGGGTCTGGGCAGCTAGATGCCAAAGTGGATAGAGTGCTGGGCCTGCAGTCAGGAAGACTCCTCTTCCTGAGTTCAAACCTGGCCTCAGACACTTACCAGCTGTGTGATCCTGAGCAAGTCGCTTCACCCCATTTGCCTCGGTTTCCTCATCTGTAAAATGGGCTGGAAAAAGAACTGGCAAACTACTCTGGTATCTTTGCCAAGGAAACCCCAAATGAGGTCACAGAGAGTCAGACATGACTGAAACAATTAAACAACAAAGTGGGCAACTAATGCTCACGTTGCCTACCTCTCAGCCCTTGTGAAGATGGCATCTGAGGAACTTTAAAGTACCGTAGTATGGCCAGCAATCATGTAGACAGGCTTTCACAACAAGGTTACAGAAAAGGAAACTGAGGCCCAGAGAGGAGAAGCGACTTGCCGGGGGGCTCCAGTGAGTGTCTAGGGCTTTTTCCCACCCACCCCGTGACTAGAACTAGATTCTGCTTAGTTGATCCTTGTTTGCCCCTCTCCAACAGAGAGACTGTGCCTGCCAACTCCACCTTCTCCAAGAGCTTCACGGCAACTCCAAGCCTGGCTGCCAACCGCCAGAAACAGGGCCTGGCCTTGGATGGCAAACTGAAGCACGAAGACACCAACCTGGCCTCCAGTACCATGTGAGGATGGCCCTGCTCCCTCCCCCTCTCTGGCCCTCCTCCTTCACACTGACCCCCAATGAGCCACTCTTGCACACTCACAGAACCCAAGGCCTCAGACCCAAACGGTCAACAGCCTCCCTGCCCCTGTGGGCCAGTGCAATCCCCCAGGGGGCGCCCAATAGACCTAGGGCCATCAGAGGGCACCAGAGAAGAGGAGAAAATAGAATGGAAAGGTAGAAGAGGAAAGAAGGATGGAAGGAGGGGACAAAAGGAGAGAAAGCAAATGAAAAGCAAGGTGACTGCAGAGTGGGATGAAGTACCATGAGCGCCAGTAGCGCCAGCCACTGGAAGGGTTCAAGCCAAGTTGGCACGGGCTATCCTAATCCTCTAACTTCAGCTCCCAAGGCATAGGGCACCCCGTCTCTTCCCTCATGCCTAAGTCCACCCTCTCCCCAGTCAATGAGTCAGACAATCAGAGAATCTGAGGGCTCAGCCAAAGACTTTGCACATAGTAGGGAAGAAAGAAGGATTTGCTGAGTTGAATGTGAATATTCTAGAATGTCAGAAGTCAAAGGACCTGAGGATCTGAGGTCTTAAGCTGGAAGAAACCTCAGACAACGATGAGTTCAACTCTGTCATTTTACAGATAATGAAATTGAGACCCGGAGAGGGAAAGTTACTTGCCTAAGGTCACACAGCTCTCTGTGTCTCAGTCAACAAGTATTTCTTCAGTTCCTACCGAGGGCTCTGTCCCGTGCTAGTAGATGTAAGGGGACGCAATGGAGTTCTGCTCTCAGGACGTTTATAATCTAGCTGGAGAGCCAGTTTAGAATGCTCCCAATTTCCCGGGCAAGTTGAGGAATAGTTAAATAGTTGGCCCACTCCAGCTCTGCTATTTAGTAGCTGTTTTACCTTCAGCAGGTCCCTGGCCCTCTCTGGACCTCTGTGGACCTCTGTAGACTGAGGGAGTGGGCCTGGCTGCCTTCTCAAGTATCTTCTAGCTCTGCCTTTCTAAGCAGAGTATGGGGCCATGGGGAGGGCCTTGAGTGCCAGGTGGAAGAACTTGGACTTGAGCCTAGGAGGGCCATGTTGAGAGAGGCGTCCTAGGGTGCTGGAAAGCACAATGGCTCTACATTCAAGAGGACTTGGGTTCAAATCCTGCCTGTGGCACATTTACTGCTTGTGTGATGTTGGACTGAGGTCAGTGAGGGCCCTTCTAGGTAAGCCACGAGGTTCTCAAGACCTGGAGAGGGCTGCTGCTGATTGCAGCAGAATGGAAAGGGACGTTTGAAAGGAAAAAACAACAGGGTCTGGTGACCAACACCATTCCATTCCCCTCAAGAACAACAAAGCCGGGGCAGCTGGGTGGCTCAGTGGATAGAGCTCTGGCCTTGGAGTCAAGAGGACCTGAGTTCAAATCCAGCCTCAGATACACTTACTAGCTGTGTGCCTCACTGGAAAAAAAAAAAAAAAAAAGAAATATAAAAACAACAAAACCACTCCTTCTCAGCCTTCAGCCGGGCACGGACAAAGAGGCTCTGGGGATCCTAGTGTCCTATCAAGTCAGGATCAGCACAGTGGCATCTCGTGGAGGGTGAGTGAAGGCCCACTTGGGGGATGGGGGAAGTTAAGCAGAGAGAGGGGCCCTTACACTGCTGCTTCCTGCCCTTGTTGGCCCTCTATCAGGGGTCTTTCTTCCCACTCCCTCCCAAGGCAAGCCCTCCACTCATCTCCACCCCCTCCCCCCCCACGCACACACATAGTCATGCCAGTCTGCTCAGTGGGCAAATACCTCCTGCTTCCCACTGCCATTGCCCGATGGGGGAATTATTCTAAAGCTGTTCCCTTCCAAGAAGGTTAGGTCCCTCTTTTCTTTGCCTAGCTGCTAACCCTGGGGATCCTTCTGTCCCCAGCATCCTAGGAGATCTGACGTCCAGGTAAGGAGGAGGAAGGGTTGCCCGGGGGAGCAAGGCTCGAAGGAGCAAGTGGGGGACCGCCTGAGGGGTCAGGCTTGGGGAGCGGTGGGGCCGCGGAGGTCAGTGACTAAATGGGGGGCATCTTGGCAGTGACATGAGCGTGGTGCTTCCTTTGAGCCTGATGCATCCCAAACCATCTGCTGGTGAGTGACCCTGGGGAATCTTCGGAACGCTTCAGCCTGGGAGTGGAGAATTAGGTCGCCCTGCCAGAGATCAGCTCAGGACTGGGGGTTGGAAGTGGGGCAGAGGGGGCTTGGAGAGGCTGTGGGGAATATGTTGGAAGGATTAGATGCTGTTGAGTAAACACGCCTTCCCAGGACTTGGCCACTTGGAATCTTGGAGTCAGAGGCCCTGGGTTAGAATCCTGGCTCAGTTACTTACTCCCTGGGTGGCCTTGGGCAAAGCCCTTATCATCTGTGTGCCTCGGTCTCCTCCTCTATCAAATGAGTGGGTTGAATGCAAATGACCTCTCCAGGAAGATCTGGCTCCAGACTTGGGTTCCTAGCCCACCTCTGATGTTTACTACTTGTGTGCCCTTGGCCAAGTCACACTCCCTAACTCTCATCAGTTAGCTCCTCTATCAAACGAGGGAGCTGGCCTAGCTGTCTCAGCTCTAGCTCTGGGAGCCCACGATTTCAGTCCTGTGCTCTCCCCTGGGCTGCAGATGTCACCAGGTACCAAGGGGTGGGCTGGGGGGAGGGGTCGGCCTTTACAAGTGTCGGAAGGACAATTTGAATTTTGGTGGAGGAGACTCCTTTCAACTTGATAGTGTTGGAAAGGTCTTCCAATGCTAGAGCCCCTACCCAGAGCAGTGTCTTTCATGAGCCTGCTTCTCTCTGCCTCAGAGGGGAAAAGGACCTGGGTATGGGGGCACAGGAGAGTCAGGAAGATGACAGGGGTCTCTCAGAGGAGGGGGCAATTAATGGGCAGTCCAGATAGTTGGAGGATAGATGATGGGAAGGGGAAAGGAAAAGGGAAGGGGTAGGGGGAGGTAAAAGGAGAGGGAAGGGAAGAGGAAGGAGAGGGGAAGAGGAGGGGGAGGGGAAGAGGAAGGGAGAGGGGAGGGGAAAGGAGAGAGGGAGGGGAGGGGAGGGGAAGAGGAGGGGGAGGGGAAGAGGAGGGGAGGGGAAGAGGAGGGAAAGGGGAAGGGGAAGAGGAAGGGGGAGGGAGGGGTCCAGCCTGGGAGATGAGAGGGAGGGCAATGAAGAAGGAAAGGATTCAGTGTAGATGTGGGTCCTTCCTTCTCCCTCATCCTTCTGCTGCTACTCTAGAAGTGAGGATGTCGTCATTGAAGACTTTGCTCAGCAGTGGCCGAAACTCCAGGGGGCAGATGAGACTGAGGAAGAGGCCACGTCCACCGCCTCCGGGACTGAGGACAACTGAGTAGGCCTATTGAGCCTGGGACCTGGTGCCCCTCGGGCCCCATGAAACTAAGCAAGGCCCAAATAAAGTACACTGCCTTGTAGTGAGTGTGTTTCTTCTTCCAAGATGGGCCCTGAGTGCCCACGTTTCACTGGAGGCCTGCACTTCAGGCTTCATCATTCACTGGTCAAGGAGGAAAAAAAAAGCCACAATGATGCCATTAGTTGGGCTTCTTTGGGATGGGTGGACAGGGGAATGAACTGGATTCTGGCCCAATGGATGGCCTGGAAGCCAGACTGTGATGGGCCACTGCCTCTGCTTGGCTAGGAGCCCCCACTCTTCTCTTCGGAAGATGATCAAAGGTTTGTACTGAACAGAATACCCAGAACTTTCTTTATGAGTCTGAGGTCTAGAAGTGAATCTTGTGTCCCATGGGCAGAGTCCCTTTGGCTCTCTGGGCCAGTTTTCCCATAGGAAGGGATTGGACTAGAAAATCACTCAGGTCCATTCCAGCCCCAAGCCTATAATTCAATCTACGATCTCTGTGGAAATCTACGGAATCCTCCCATTGCAACACCTGCTTGAGGATGTTTTGGCAAAATGGATGATGATGGCTCTTTAGTCTTAATGGTAATTAAGGAATGACATGTAGATGAGGGCAATAGATTTTTAGTAGGAAGTCAAAGTCATCTTCATCAGAAAATTCATGTGAAGCTTGGAACTGAGAGCTTTGGGGCAGAACCAGGGGAGTGTACACATAGCTGGCTAGCTGCCTTGCCCTCCAGTGCAGCCAAACCAAGAAAGCCCAACTCCCCGACAGTCTGTTCTGACTTCTAAGCTTTCTGGACATTGAGAAGTGTAGAAATGTGGACCACTGAATGGAATCCAACTCAGGAAAGCCTAATGAAGCCCTTCCCCCAAGCCTGTATAGGCAGCCCCAGAGGACGCAGCAAGCAGTAAATGGGGGGCCGGGGAGGGGTGTTTCAGAAGAGTAGATTCAGGCCTCCTGACAATGAGAGCCAGCCCAGAGTGGAATGGGTGACCTCAGGAGATAGTGGAGAAAGTCAAGGGGAGGCTGGATGACCAAGGTAAAAGGGATGCTTGATCAAGTACGGGTTGGGGACCTTGGAGATCCCTTCTAACTGAGATTTTAGGATTCTCCTGATAAGGAGTGCGACAAATAGCAAGGACCCTGGGCTTGGAGTCTGGAGACTCCAGTTTAAAGCCTACCTCCAACATTTCCTATCTGTATGACCTGAGCAAGTCACTCCCCCTCAGAGCCTGAATATCCTGTGTCTCCCTCCAGGGGTTCCAGAGGGTTGATCTGGTCAGGCCCATGGATGACAAGGAGTCAGAGGAAGTAGAGCCCAATTTCTTCCACCCTAGCCAGTGTTGGGGAGAGGGACTGAGCCTCAGGGAGGCTCACAGGCTGGATGGCACTCGTGCCTAGAACCTTAGAGACCATCCAATGCAAGCTGGAAAGTGAGACCAGACAGGGATGGGAGGCAGGGAACAGAAGCCTGTGGGACAAAGTTTGCTGGGTTGGGGTTCAAATCTTAGCTCCTTGTCATACTATGTGCGAAACCTTGGCCAAATCGCTTGCCCACTTTCTCTATTAAATGAGGGGTTAGGCAAGGTGGCCCCTCAAGTCCTTTCCAGCTTTCGAGTTAGTATCCTATGAATTCCAGGACAACAAAACTGGAAGGGGCCTTCAGCCCTGGGAGACCCAGTAGCCTAACGCCTCCGGGGCAAAGGGAGAAAGTGAGGCCCAGGGAGGGGAAGACCCTGAGGAACGCCGAAAGATGTACCAGGCAGGGTCCGCTGAGGCCTTCCCGTTCAAGCCCACCACTTAACAGAGGAGTAAACTGGGGTCCAGGGGGGGAGGGGCTTGCCCGAAGCTGGGGGTGGGGTGGCCCGGCACCTGACTCCAGCCCTCTACTCTTCCCCCCCCCCCCCC